TAAGTGAAGTCCTGATCCGCTTTATAAAAGTCCTTAATTGTTCCTAACTGATTATTAAGACGTCTGGCAAACATCCTCTGGATGTTTCCTGCCAGCCTGCAGGCACATCCTGCCTAAAATATACGATGATGTACTGTACATTTAAGAAACAAATCTGAGTCACAGGTCTGTGGAGTGTGGTTAGGCTTACGGAGTCAGCCGGTCCCTCCCCCACCACCGACACACCTCCCCCACCCCAAACCCATACACACACACACACACTCTCACAAAGGTCACGTGGTTCACGGTTCACTTCAACACCCATATATCGCTTCCTGTCTGCCTGCTTCCTTCCCAGCCTGCCTCCTTCCCAGCTTGCCAGCCTGCTTCCTTCCCAGCCTGCCTCCTTCCCAGCCTGCCAGCCTGCTTCCTTCCCAGCCTGCCTCCTTCCCAGCCTGCCTCCTTCCCAGCCTGCCTCCTTCCCAGCCTGCCAGCCTGCTTCCTTCCCAGCCTGCCTCCTTCCCAGCCTGCCAGCCTGCTTCCTTCCCAGCCTGCCTGCCTCCTTCCCAGCCTGCCTCCTTCCCAGCCTGCCCTCCAGCCTGCCTGCCTCCTCCCAGCCTGCCTCCTTCCCAGCCTGCCTCCTTCCCAGCCTGCCAGCCTGCTTCCTTCCCAGCCTGCCTCCTTCCCAGCCTTCCAGCCTGCTTCCTTCCCAGCCTGCCAGCCTGCTTCCTTCCCAGCCTGCCTCCTTCCCAGCCTGCCTCCTTCCCAGCCTGCCTCCTTCCCAGCCTGCCAGCCTGCTTCCTTCCCAGCCTGCCTCCTTCCCAGCCTGGCAGCCTGCTTCCTTTCCAGCCAGCCTGCCTCCCTCCCTGCCATCATGCTAACGGGTAGTGTGTGTTAGGCTTATCTTCGGGAATGAGCCGGTCTCACCCCCACCACCAACAAACCACCCGCCCCCCTACATCCCATCTCTCAAGGTCACGCGGTTCAACTGCGTGACTACCACTCACTCCCTGCTTGCAAGCTAGCCTGCCTGCCTGCAAGCTAGCCTGCCTGCCTGCAAGCTAGCCTGCCTGCCTGCCTGCCTGCCTGCCTGCCTGCCTGCCTGCCTGCCTGTCTGCCTGCCTGTGCCTGCCTGCCTGTGCCTGCCAGCCTGCCTTTCCCTCCCTAATTCTCACTACTTCCATCCCTTCCTGCCTACCTCCTAGCATCTCTCCCTACCTCCCCCTCCCTCTTAGCATCTCTCCCTACCTCCTAACATCTCTCCCTACCTCCCCCTCCCTCCTAGCATCTCTCTCCCCCCCTCTCTCACTGATTCTCCCCCCCCCCCCTCATTCATACTGCCTCCCACCTAAGCTCCATCGTCCATCCATCCACCAGTCAGCCATCACTGACGCAATGCGTGCATTTGGAGCCAACATGGTGCACAGATGTTTCTTGATTGTGCAGATATGTAAAACAAAAGCACAGAATGAACATTCCAGCCTTATGGCAATTCAAAATAATAGGAATAATAGGCCGTGAATCTGTGAAGTCACAGTGGGCAAACTGGACCATCGCCCACCCACCACCACAAGCCGGCGTGACGCTTGGCGGACCCCTTCCTACCCGAACTTTGTTCGGGTAGCATGACTCCCCAACCCCAATCGGGAAACTGGAAGTTTCGGATAACTAAAGTTCGGAAACCAAGTGGTGCTCTGTACCAAACAGGCACTCCCACCGTTGCACTGCGGAACAAGGTGGAGGCGGGGCCCCGAAATCAAGCAAGGTTAGACAAGCATAGGAGAGGGGCAGGAGGAGTACAGGCAGGAACCGCCTCTGTAGGGACAAGAGGCCACCTGCAGACACCCGTGAACCGAGGAAGGAATCAGGTGGAGAGAACAAGAGCTGCCCTGTATGGGCTAATAGCCCTGCAGTAGGCACCTCGGGTGATACGGTCCACGTTCTCAAGTACGTATGTACACCCATTCCTACTCCCAAAAACAAAAACAGGGTCAGGACGAAGAAGACGCCAAAACCGCACCAACTCACCTGCAGAACATAGGCCCTGAAGGGCCATGACGCAAGCGTTCGAGTCCGTATCCGCCGGAAGCGGCCAGTGCGCCCACGCTGGAGAGGATGGGAGCAGCGAAGGAGGCTCCCCACCCTAGAACACAGGGAAAAACCTCATGAATTCCACACAGCAGCACCCCAGAACACCCCCAAGCAATGGGGCACGGATGGGAATAAGAAAAGAATGAGAGGCGAAGCCCCCGAGAGAATTGGAGCAGAACACGTGTACACACCGCCCGGAACCAAAACAAACTCCCACTGCGCATGCGCAGGACACGAAAGAAAGTAGCCCAACCAGGCGAGAAGTAGCCCAACCAGGCGCGAAGTAGCCCAACTAGGCGCAAAGTAGCCCAACCAGGCGAGAAGTAGCCCAACCAGGCGAGAAGTAGCCCAACCAGGCGCGAAGTAGCCCAACTAGGCGCAAAGTAGCCCAACCAGGCGAGAAGTAGCCCAACCAGGCGAGAAGTAGCCCAACCAGGCGCGAAGTAGCCCAACAGGGCGAGAAGTAGCCCAATAAAGCAAGAAGTAGCCCAATAAAGCGAGAAGTAACCCAACAAGGCGAGAAGTAGCCCAACCGGCTACAAGGAGCCCAAACGGCTACAAAGGAGCCCAAACTACTACAAGGAGCCCAAACGGCTACAAGGAGCCCAACCTGTCCAGAACAGAAGGAACCAGTATGGAGGCAAACTCCGGGACACGCAGGAGGAAGCCGCAAAAGCCAACCGCACCGCAGGCGAAGAGATGCGGGTAGCCGAAAACCTCCTGAAGACGGAACCGAAAAAACCACAGGGACACGGAACCGAACCCGGGGAGGAGCAGAACCCAAGCCCAAATCGTACGCAGAGGGGGGAAAGAAAACCCCACTCCTCGCAACAGTAAGCCCCGCTCAGAAGGACTGAAATCCAGGAGGGGCGCAATGGAGCCCAAGGCCCCCAAGGCCGCTCCTCCCCAACCCCAGGAGCCTCTGCACCAGGCCCCGGGGCCGAGTCGACCTCCATAGCCCCAGCCTTACAAGAAAAAGCTGGGGCAGCCGAGAGAGCTGAAAGAGAAGGGGGCCCACTGGTCAAAACCCCGGAGCATCGGCCGGAGGAACAGACTCGAATGCCTCCGCAGCTACCCCGGACGGGGCAACCCCCGAAACTGCCCAAGTCTCAGAACCTCTAACCCCGCCCCGACCCCGAAGCCTGCAGATGCGTAGGGGCCAGAAGCAGGAGGGGGAAAAACAAGGGGGGCGTGGAAGGAACCAAGGCCGAAGCGACCAAAACCACCCAAGTCTGGGTCCCTACACAAGCGGGGCAGCATCGGGGCGTCCGGGCGTCCGGGGAAGTGACAAACCAGAGCGCGTTGCACCATCCTACCCTGCAACGCGCGAGCTGCCTGCACCCACAGGAATTCATCAGCAGACTGGGTGAATGGAGTCACGAACAAGCAACAAAGCTCGCAGGACTCAAGGGTCGAATGTGTCACGACCCAACAGGCAGCATGACGGAGGCAAAAACAAGGAGAGTCACCCTGAGACAAAGGGACAGAGCAACCCTCAACTCGCACAAAGCGAGAGGGGATGCAAGCGTCTCCACTATCGGACCCGAGAGCCCCCGGGGGGTTTCCCAGGGCCCCTAGACTGGGTCTGCTAAGGGTTATCCCAGGCAGGGTACTGCTAACCGGCGCCCCAAACTACCAAGCAAACTGCTAAAGCTGAACCCACGGGACGTGTCCACTCGCGAGGGCAAAGCAGGGGGTGCCACCACACAAACGAACCTAATATAAGGGGGGGGGGGGAAATAAGGAAGACCCCCCCTACCAGGCAAAAACAAAAATAAAAGAAAAAACCACACAAGTGGACAACGTACCCAGAGGGAACAGAGCCGGCCGCTGTCATAGGTGAAAACTAGCTATGCAGTACCCTGCGCCCCACCAGTGCGATAACTACCACTTACCCCAAGGTAAACAAGGGAGTGAAACCCCCAAACCCTCGGGGCGGCCAAACGCCAAGCAGCGAAAAGCTAACAGAGGTAGACCCAAGGTGACTTGTGGAAGGCAACCCCAAGCCCCAAGGGCGGTACTTACAGGGCACTCAGGGAAGGTGACCCTAAGCACATGCAGCCCGAGTACCTGAGAATACTACTCCCAGCTCACACGACCACCGTAAGAGCAGCACTGCAAACAAGTCACAGCACTGAGACAAGACTGGAGCTGGAGCCACATGACCGTGCATGATCCCATCAGCCGAGGAACTGGGGCGGGGATCGCCGGCGCGGGGGTCTGGGGCTCCCCCTTCCCCCTCCCGGGGAGGGGGGAGCTGCGCAGACATGCGGCGCGGCTCGCGTGACGTCATGTTTGTTAGTTCGTTTTCCTGGGGGAGTTCTGTCCACTAGTTTGTCGATTTTGTTGTTTAACCAGAATAGGGGTTTGTTTTGTGGCCTTACCTTTCTGGGTGCCTGTCCCGGTCGATGGCAGATATAGAATGCTCCAAATCACATGTGCATTTCTATGGGCCATTGCTCCCCGTGCCTCTCTGAGGGGGCCAGGTTCTGGCTCGTGGTCCCCGGTAGGCCTAGAACTCCACCCACATCGACTGATGCAAAATAGTTAGGGTATCCATATCAGCCATGGATAGCTCCGGGGAGCCGTAGGGGCTCCCCCAGAAAAAGTAAGTAAATTTGTTACAAAGGATCTTCCTGTTCAATGACCATACTGTCTGTACATTATTATTTCATTACTCTCTGGGTGTTCAACCCATTTGGCTTTAATTATTGTTTCTAGTGTTTTGACTACCACGCTTGTTAATGATACGGGTCTATAATTTAGAGGTTCTTAAATTTTTGAGGAGTGCCTTAATTTGATTGCATGCCATGCTATAATAATTACATTTTCCTGGTATAATAAAATTAATAATTAGTTTAAAACTCTACAGACATGACAGGAGATTCTAACAAATACTTTAACTGTGTATAACAGATGCAAACACTTACTTGCTGGCTTGGCCAATAAGGGCAATAGCTATGTTGATTCTCTTTCGCAAGAAGATGAGTACTAACAAACAGACCACTAAGATGGTCACTGTAATTATAAACAATATCAGCCATGTTGTTTCCAATTCTGCAACTCTGCTTATTTCCTTGGTAAATCCAAATTCTGCTACAGACATGGTTGAGTTGTCAACATTTTTGCGCAGAGTAAGATACTTGTTCAAGGTGTAGTATGATCCTGTAGAAAAGTGCATTAATAAAATTTAACAGTGAAAAGTACAGTATACTAAAAATAATATATCAGAAACCTGATATGAATCCCTTTTTTACAAAATACTGCAGCATTTTTATAACCCACATAAAAGGCTTACTATAGAGCTCTATAGAGCTCCTTTTACTATAAAGAGGAGAGTAAGCTAGAGCTTACTAAAGAGCTCTATACTTTACTAGCTCTGTCTAGTAAATGGTAGAGCTCTACCATTTACTAGATAGAGCTCTAAAGACCAGCATTAAATGTAATGAAACACCAATTTCTGGGTGAGCCCTGGTGGCTCCATGAACCTATCATATACTGATAGCATACCATCTACTAGATCTCATCAGCTGCAGAGTTTTATAGACTTACCAGGGACCAGCGCCAGAACCTGGACCCTCACAGACACACAGGGAACACTGACATTTATTTATTTATTTACTATTCATTCATTTATGCCACTACTGGGAAAGGCAACCAGAGTCAATTAGTCAAAACAAACCACCGCTGGCTTTAATAGAGAACGGCAGCCTCGTAAACAAATAATTGAAATCTCTCAAAACTAGCACAAGCTCATTCAGCCCACATCCCCCAACTCATTTAGGGGAGTGGGAGGAGCCCATGGTCAGTCAGCATCTCCACCTTCAGTTCTATGGACGATATAACCAACCCCATGATGACCTGGAAGGAGGGAGGGGGTCGGGGAGCCAAAAGGCCTCTCCTAAAATTGACATTATATTCAATACAGTACTGGGGAGACCTACTTGTGGTTCAATGAAGCTAACTACCCACAGAGAAGGAAAAGAAAAAAGTACTGCAGGAATCATGAAGAAGAGGAAACACCCAGCCAAGACACGTGGCCCAAAACCACCAAAGCCCGGCAACATGACAAGATACCAAGCCGCCAGAACCCCATTCAAACCCAAAAATTCCCGTGCTTGAATATCAGTCCAAGACAGGTCCGTGAACACAGCTGAGAGAGCAGCATATTGAACGTCCTAACATAAAGAGCGAAAAGGATGACCGCAGGCTGACTAGACTTAACAGTGCGAATGACCTGAGAAAGATATTTTTGGAACAGGGGCCAAGGTAACTGGATCAACCCACAAGGCATCCACCAAGGCAGAGTCAGCAGAACAAAAGTACTGTAATGACAGAGGGCTTGCCACCGGACACAGTATAAGATGCATCCCCAGCCGAACCAACCAAGCATCAATGACCAAAGGACCCGACCAGAAGCCAACTAACATGTTCCTTGCCAGAAAAGGAGTTGGCAGCAAATGAACAAACCACCCACCTGGACCAAAAGAACAAAATCAACTCCAATGGAGAAGAGCATGAAGTTCCCCACCTGACAACAGGATGCAAGAAAAACAAAAGCAAAGACATAAGGAAACAACCATGGACCAAAGAGAACACCGTAAATTGAGAGGGGAAAAAACCAGCGTTAAATGTAATGAAACGTCATTTTTTTGGGTAAGCCCCAGAGGCTCCCTGGAGCTATCGAGCTAATATGCAATACATTAGACCAGGGCATTAGTCAATGGAGTTCAGCCCAATGGAGATCACGAACCAGAACCTGGCCCCCTTAGAGAGGCACAGGGAGCCTCTCCCTGCTCCTCTTCCAGGAGCAATGACTCCTGGAAACCCCCCTTTCCTCCCGTGGATGGGGGTTTTCCTTGTCTGCCATCGACCGTGGTTAGGCACCAAGAAAGGTAGGCATAACAAAACAGACCCCACATGGTAAGAAAATTGCAACCCAAAACCAAACAAAGAGGCAAAATTCTAACAAATCCACAAGGGCCGTGACGAGGATTCAAACCTACATCTGAGAGCATCGCAGACACTGCCTTAATTGACTATGTTCGAAGCCTCGTCACTGCCCTTGTGGATTTGTTCATTTGATGCATCACGCTATTGTGATTTCTGTGTGTAATGAAGTAAGGGTGAAGATGTAGAACGGCCTATTGACATAGCTCAACTGCATGGGGGAGTTGTGTAAAAACCTGGTTTGTGTCTCAGAGAGGCTGCAGGATCCAAGTAAGTTCAGCAGAACTTCTGGTTTCAACTCTTTTACCATGTCATAGCTCAGTCGATTAAGGCAGCGTCTGGGATGCTCTTGGACGTAGGTTCGAATCCTCGTCACGGCCCTTGTGGATTTGTTCATTTGATGCATCACACTATTGTGATTTCTGTGTGTAAGGCAAAATTCCCTAAAATTCTAAGGAAACAAGCAAACGTCACATCTCATCCGCGCAGCCCTCCCCTCCTTGTGTTGGCTAGAGGAAAAGGGGGAAAAGCCCTGAAACCCGTCCCCCCCCCCCGTGATCTCTACCCAGCAACTCCAGATCGGAGGCCAAGCATCAAAACAATGCGAAACTGCCAACCAGAGGTAGGGAAGGTGCCAGGGAGCCTCTGGGGCTCACCCAGAAAATGTTATTTCATTACAGTACATTCAACACTGGTTTCTTGTGGGGGAGCCCTTCTGGCTCCCTGGACCTACATAACTAACGATAAGGAAAAGAGGGACATGCCCGGCAGGTGACCGCCACCAGCTCCTCAACTCGAAGGAGAGACAACTGGCTGCAACCTGCGATCCAAAGCCACACACGAATGCCCGGGACCAAGACTGTTGACCAAATAATGGGTGGCCAGAACCCTGTTCGACCTCCAAAATCCCTGCGGCCGAATAGCAGCCCAAGACACGTTGCCAAAGCAGCAAACTGGCGCACGTCATGGGCATGAGGATAGACCTCAGGCTGGCTAGACTTAATAACTCTGTGGACAACGTGGGAGAGACAAGCCCTGGAATGGGGAACGAGGGAAATCGGATAAACCCAAAGCGCTTCTCGGCCACAGAAGCCGACTGAGGCACGCAGGTAACGGTGAAGACAGCTCAAGTGGTGCACGAGCAGGCCGGAGGTGAAACAAAGCACGAGAAAACTTATGGAATGGGGCGAAAGTGCCAACCATCCGGAACGCAAGCTGGAGCTGCTCCGCCAGTGACGCACGATACGAGGTGACAGTATTTGGCAACAAATGATGATCCTGAAAAAGCTAAGAAAGCCAAGCACCACAGAGGACCCACCTCAACCAACAGCAGACAAAATCATGGTTCGAGCCCTACTGACACAGCTGCCCCTCTACTGGCACAGCCGCCCCTCTACAGGCACAGACGCTGCTCTACAGGCACAGCCTCTCCTCTACAGGCACAGCCGCCCCTCTACAGGCACAGCTGCCCCTCTACAGGCACAGCCGTCGCTCCACAGGCACAACCGCCCCTCACCACGAGCGTAGCTCTCATCCTGTAACTACACTTAGGTAATTACACTTAGGTAATTACAGTCACAGCCGCCCCTCTACAGTCACAGCCTCTCCTCTCCAGGCACAGCCGTCCCTCTACAGGCACAGCCGCCCCTCTACAGGCACAGCCACCGCTCTACAGGCACAGCCACCACACTACAGGCATAGCCGCCCCTCTACAGGCATAGCCGCCACTCTACAGAAACCACAACCGTGGTGCTGTGGTGAAACATCACAGTTGTGATGTTTCAATGCTTGAAAGATCATTTGATGACCAAACCACACATCAGAAGATAGAGAAACGACAATATCATGTCATATGCGATAATGAGCGTCTAATGAGATAATTAGAAGATTTTGTATTAACATCTCTCTTTAGCACTGACTATATCTATTAAATACTCACATATGACTTGTAATGGTCCAGGACGGACCAAAACATTGTTGTTTCTCCATCTTCTGAAGTGTGGTTTGGTCATTATATCTTCAACCACATTATTGTAACTCAATGTCTGCATGAAAGCTCATTGAACCAATCATCTTGCTTTACAGTGGGGATCATTTATCTGAATAAAATAAAAGTGCTTTTTCTGTGATTTTGCATGAATGTGTTTAATCATATGATACTGCACAAGTTTCTCCATAGGAGGCTACATCCTACTAATGCATCCTACTAATGTGTAATTTCAAAATATTTAGCAAAAGTATAAAGTATTATTATACTTACCAAATCCTGAAAGCCCTATAAAGGCTATTAATGAAAACCAAATCATGATAGCCGAGATGAACCGCAGGAGGACAATCCAAAGAAATGACACGAGCATGGCAACGCCAAAACCAGAAAGCAGAATCCACCATGATGTCTTAATATCTTGAAAAACGCCTTCAGCCACCTGGATTAAGCAAGATTTAAAATAATTACATGGCATTTAATTATGGTTTAACTTAAATCTGGAACTCTAAATAGACCTATAAGATTTGCCTAGAATAGTTAAGAGTTGATGCAATTATATCCTAGTGTATCTAGAAAAACTTAAATGGCTGAACCACAGCCATGATGATCAAAGTTAATATATTTTACATGTAATACTGCATGCTACTGACATATACATATTAGAGAGATTAAAAAACAATACATATACTGTATTAATTGGATAATTTTGTATGAACATCTCTCTTTGGTGCTGACTATATCTATTAAATGCTTAGCCACTATTTTATAAGTATGGTATTATCAATCACTTCATTACAGATTGTAAATAATATAATTCAATGGGCATACCAATAAATTTCAATATTCAATGGCATGGTCAGTTTCTTATGGTTAATAAAATTTTGTATCATCTATCATATCTATCTCTAATTGTATCTTCACATCAAATATGTCTCTAATCATATTCACAGAGATAGCCCTCAATATATTTTACCATTACAATATTTAAACTGAAATCTTCTAATATCAAACAATAACTACTACATTAAACATTAAACAGAACTGCAAATCAATCTAATATGTTGAATCTGAAATTACTGATATAATTCATTGTGTCAGAGGGACAAGAAGCCAGAGTGTATTCATACACGTTAGGCTTTTATCGAGTCCCCCCCCTTCCCCCCAAGTCGAATTACTGACCCTGGCCAAGATGCAACCCCACAACAAGCTGACTAACTCCTGAGTACCTATTTGCTGCTAGGTGAACAGAAGCATTAGGTTTAAGGAAATGTGCCCAATCATTTCTCTCCCGCCCGGGATTCGAACCCGGAATTCTCGGTTGTGCGTCGAGAACGAACCCGACTATACTACCGGGACCCTCATATCTGAAGCTTCTCAACATTTTAACTTTTTTGCACAAAGATCTCTGAACAAAACTACCTAGAATTCTTATTCTAAATAACCTATCTATTAGCCTATGGCTGCATAATGTTTACTATAATGTCTACTATCAAAGTGAATGCAGCAATTAATAACAATATATCATCATATACAGTACCTGTAGCATGAATTTATTTCATAAAGCTCGACAATTTTGGGCCTGTGAATTGCCATTACCTTACCTTATAACCAGTGTACATCACTAGCGCATCTTAAAGTACAGCATGCAAAAAGTAAACAGAGGTTAATAACAAGTCAAGGAGAATGTCATCTTTTCATGCAATATGACAACTGAAGCTGTAAAGCTACAAATATTAATACGCTAAGCATGCATTGTACATTCATGCAATCTATACCTATAAGATTATCTGTTCATCTGTCTGTCTGTCCAAGGTTGGAGACCAGATGCTTGGCGCTTGACTCGCCCAACTATCATATATGAAACATATGGGGTAAGGGAGTGTCATAGGCCAATTGGGGTCAGCTCCAGTGACAAAAATGAAATACTGTACTGGTGGTGTTACCTGTAGCTTTAATCATACATTTCATTGCTTTTTTATATAATTTGTCTGAGAGGGAGAGGGAGAGAGGGAGGGAGGGAGGGAGGAAGCAGGAGAGGAAATGTCTTTAGAGAGGGAAGGGAAAGGGGGGGGGGACAGGAAGAGAGGGGGAAAGAGTGGGGACAGATGTCAGAGGGGGAGTGGGGAGAGCGAGAAGTCAGAGGGAGGAGACAGGGAAGAGATGTGAAGAGACACGAGAGGGAAAAGAAACGGTAAGAGAGAGACGAGAGGGGGAAGATATGGGAAGAGAGACAAGAGGGAGAAAAAATAGAAAGAGTCGAAAAAGGGAAGAGAGACAAGAGGGAGAAAAAATAGAAAGAGTCGAAAAAGGGAAGAGAGGAGAGAAGGAAGAGATGGGAAGAGGGAAGAGAGATGAGAGAGGGAAGAGAGATGAGAGAGGGAAGAGAGATGAGAGCGGGTAGATTGTTGGAGAGACCTGAGAGCAGCACGTATCCCTTCTAGTAAGACTCGTACTATACCATACTGGCTTAGTATGCTTTGATTTATATAAAAAACTGGAATTTATAGGATTAAGATGCTCCTTTCTGAGAAGTCCCTTGCAACACAGCTGGCTACTAGAGTCCACCCCAAGAAACTGCCATGACACCAGACTTTTGCTGATCTTTGTCCCAAAATAATAAGGAACTTTGCAAATAGTCCTGCCACATAGTTGGGAATGGGAGACAGTGAAGAGTTTTCTCACTTCAATCAAAATGAAGACCTTTCGCTATGCGCTGAATGCGTTGAATGTAATGAAATGCCAATTTCTGGGTGAACACTGGTGGCATTCCGAGTCACACACAGCAGGTGACAATTTGCCACCTCACTAGAAAAAATTCTAGAAAGTCAGCACAGCTTTACAAACAACTGGAGGGTTCACAGAAAATGAAGCCTTGAAAAACCACCAAACAATTACCATGAATGAATCACAAGTAACAAGGGATTCACTCAAATTAGCTCAAAACTTGTTAGTACCGATTACCACCAGCAGGTGACCCAGGCCATGCTCCCAGCCAGCTCTCCAAGTCAGTTCTGAACTTGATGACCAAACCCACAACAAACCGATGAACTTGAAGGATGAGGGGAGAGGCAGAGAGGCACCTGGGTGCCTCCAGAAATTGGCATTTCATTACATTCAGTGCTGGATTTCTGGAGGAAACACCTTATGCTCCCTGAAGCTAATCTAACCATAGAGAACACAAAAGAGGGTTACCAGGAAGGAGAGGCAGCAGCCACTGAAGACGAAGAAGAAAACTAGGCTGGGCAACATGGTCCAAAGCCATACACGACCCACTGGACCCAGAAACATTAACTAAATACTAGTCTGCCGCATCCTATTAGAATGGCAAAATCTCTAAGACTGAATATCAGCCACAACACATTAGAGAGGACAGTGGCCAAAGTCATGACTACAGGCTGGCTAGACTTTATGACAATGCACACAATCTGGGAAATGCAAGCCTTGGAAGAGGGAACCAAAGAAATGGGATCAACCAATAAGGCATCCACTGTAACAGAATTGGTGGCATGCAGGTAGCAATGAAGAGCTGCCACAGGACAACAAATGAGGTACCTCTGGCCAAACTACCTAAGCATCGATTACTAAAGGATCCCTCTGGAAGCCCACCCACTCATTCTTTGCTAGAGAAGGAGCTTGGAAATACTCCAGGGTACAAGAATCCCAACTGGAAAACCGAAGCACCCAACTGTAGAACAGGGCAGCACGACCAAATCAAAGACAAGATTTGTATTCTGAAAGACAACAAGGTACCCAGAGCACCCATTAAGGATACAAGGATCCAAAAACGACATCCAGGATCCAGAGAATATAGCTAAGGTATTCCTCTGGGTAGGGAGATGTACCCAAGGAAGCGGTCACAAACTCCCTGTAGGATGAGGGAACAATCCCGAGATACATCTCTAGTAAAATGGGGCACAAACTGGAGCAAATTAACAGGTCTGGAAGATAAGCAGAGGCAAATAGCAGTAACATCAATAGGAATCCAAGATACACAAACAGAGACCTGGGAAATGCAATTAGGAACCCCCCAAGAATCCAAAGCACCATATGCAGGACCCATCATGACATATATTAACAGAGGTGGGCAGCGAGACTGTAATTACTAGTTGTTACAGGAAAGAGAGCCATGCTCATGGTGTCCTGTCTTTTTTTGTTCTATTTATGATACAAGTTTTAAAGTATCCAATGGAGATGGCACACACACCTTAGTGTGTATCTATACCTCAATAAACTTATTTCAATCTCCTGCAAGTTATTCCAGGTTAACAGCTTTGTTAGCAAATGCATATTAACGGATTTTTTTTCAAACACTCGTTTCTGCAGCTTGTACCGGTGGCCTTTCATCTGAAATGTTGCATGGGCTTCAAGAAACTTTTCTTATAACTTTTGTCAAATCTAATACAAATTTTATGTAGTGATCAAATCACCCCTTTTTTCAACTGAATTTCAATTTTGGCATGAGTAGTTCTGCAACATTTTCTCTTAACACATTTTAATTCTGGAAGCCATTTTTAATATCACCAGATGCTATTAAATGGCCTCAAGCTCAAGCACCATTTTGAGCTTGTCTATGAATTTTTCAAGATAAGAGTACCAAATGACAGCTGCAATGATGTCTGTCGGATTCTCAATCTTCGTAATGGTAACCTGAATTTCAACGTAGTGGTGGTTGGTTGATGTTCCTCATACTGATAATTATAGTTTGGAAAAGGTATTGGGAAATTTTCTCTGCTTTTTAAGTGTCATAGCAAGCAGTCCTCTTGGTGAAGGATTGAAAGACTTCTCTGCTGTGTTTTCCCTCCAAATACTGTGGACAATATGACTACAGTATTTACAAAGTTCCTTGGCAAGGTGGGGCTAAGGCTGATGAAAGTCTGACATCTTACCAATTTCTTGGGAGGACCTCTGGCTGCTTACTCAGGGTTCAACCAATGGCCTTTGCTCAGGAATATTAACTTAAAAAACATGGCACATAGAAATCACATTAACATGATGTATCAATGAGAAAATCAGTAGGAGCCATGAGGAGGATTCGATCCTATGCGCTGGATGGTCCCCAGACACTCCCTAGACCACTACACCACGACATGGTCAAAAGTACTGCAACCTGGGATTCAACTTAAAATAAATATGCTTTGTATTGAATACAGTACAGTACAAAGCTATGTACATCACATTAATAACTATTTTATGTTAATTTAAATTATTTTAATTATTAAATATTTAATCATCACATTAATATTTAATTATTTTATGGTGTATAATTAAGGTTTAATATATGTTTTTACTACTTTTAATATCAACAAATTTACTTTCTTATGGATATAAATACAATGTGGTTTTTATTAGTACATGTGATGACTAAAAGTTAATTTCACAGTGATGCATAAACAACAAATCAATCAATAATTACATACATACATAATATGTACAAAATGC